TCAAAGTCCTCTCGAAATCGCCGTCAAAGTCGGAGATATGCTCACGAACAGGTTGTGAGCTACGGGTCATAAACTAGTACCTACACACAAGAGCAAACAAGATAAGTAACCCACTTAATAGACTCGGCACAAGTAAGAAAATAAGTTGCCACACACGGCACAAAAACAAAACACATACACACGGTGCAAAATTTAAAACAAAACAGAAACCAAACAATTTAAATAAGACTCAAGACAAGGGATTAGCAACTTTGCTAATCCCCGGCAACGGCGCCAAAATTTGATGCGATACGAATGTGACACATAAATTAAACCCTATTTGTGACAATTGTAGTAATGATGTAAGTAGGGATCGTTCTAACCGGGGATTAACTAGGGGTGCTAAACACTTGACTCAAATAAATAAAACTAATCTTTAAACACTTAATTCACTTAACGAAAACTCAAAATAAGTCCACAAGACTCCAAATACTTAAAAACACAAAATAAGATAGATTAAGACTAAACAAAATATGGGGGGTTGAGGTTTTGACGAAATTAAACTAAAATGCACATATTGTAATTAAGGGCAAAATGTAAATATGAATGTGATGAAAATATGGATGAATGCTAGCTAGAAGGTTCTTCTCCACACATGTTACACTTGCATACAAGATGATTTTCGGTTGGTCTTTCGATGAATTATGAAACTCAACACCCCGGGTTAATTAGGTCCGCTTAAATTAACCGTCAAGTTTTCCTTAAGTTAATGAATTGGATGATTGCATACGACAACCCAAAGCATTCCCCACAAGTTCCCTATATGAATTGCATAATAGAGATACAAGCAAGAATCATTAAGTTCTTTGAAAATCATAAGTGTTGACAAGGCATTCGTTACTATGATGAGCATGAAACTAGTGCCAAGAATTCATTTAACGCGATTGTTTATAAGCAACCTCCACTACTTTGTGAATATAAGTTCATAACTATTAGGTGAAACTCACTTATATTCTAGCGTCATATTCATGCATGAAAATTAAGCGTGCACTCTCAATAAACGTACATAAATAAGTTATCAATCAAACAGTTAAACAAATTGAATCCACAACTCATGAAATTCCAACCAAAGGTAATCAATTCATATTGCAAGCATAAACATGGTTTCGAATCACCCCCTAGCTAATGGGGGGTTTAGTTCCTCATACGTACAAAACAAAGATAAGTAAATTTAACCATTGAAATCAAGGAAAAGAAACACCTAAAAATTCCAACAACTCAAACTTGAATTGTATGAACGTTTAGGCCCTTCTCCTCCTCTTTGTTGCGGCACAAGGTCTAAGGATAGGTTTTGGGTTGGTGTTTGTATGTGGAATGGAGTGGGGAATGGTTGGGTAGTGTTTTGGAGGGATGGGGAGTGGTGGAAATGGAAGGGAAGAATGCTGGAATTGAAGGGGATGCACGGCAATCAGGATGTGTTCTTGTTCTCCTCCAATGTGTATGAATGCATGGGTTTTTATAGGGGGAATGAGAGAATATGTGGCTGATTGTTTAAGAGTGCATGTGGCTCTTATGATTGAGAGTGCATGTGGCTGAAATAATGATGGAAAAACAGCTAGGAAAAGAATGATTAAAGAGTGAATGCATGTGGAAGTGTGGCTGCAATGAAGGAGAAAAGCTGGAATGGATGTGTGATGCACGGCTAGGGGTTGAATGGTGCTGGAAATGAATGTCTTTGCATGTGAATTAAAGCTAAGGTGAATGATGAAGAATGCATATGGATTAAAGAGGGAAAATGTGGTGCAATGATGAAGTGGGAAGCTGGAAATGCAAAGGGGATGAATGGAAAAACAGCTAGGAAAAGTTGCTGAAAATGAATGCATGTCACGGCTAAGTTGGTTGAATGATTATGGGTGCATGTGGCTGAATGATTTCTTGGTGAGGGGATGCATGGGTTGATGAATGGGAAAAGTTGCTGAATGATGAAAGGGGAATGGAAGAATGTGGCTGCAATGATGGTGTGGAATGCTGGAAATGAAGAGGATGCACGGCAAGGGATTGTTGTTTGTGTGAAGTGTGTGTGAATGGTGGTTTTGCATGGCTTTGATGGATTGTTTGTTTGGGCTAGAGGTTTTGCATGGCTCAAAGGATTGTTTGATTGGGCTAGGCCCTTTGTTTTATGTTCTAAAGTGCATACAAGGCCTTCAATTTCGTCCAACCTTTTGGCTCCAAGCATAAGCTATCCATTCTTAGCCCAAAAGTGCTCCAAAAGGCTCCAAAATGCACTTCTTTGCTCCTTTAGCCCTTAGAACCTGAAAACATACGAAAATAACTTAAAAGACTTAAAGAACTAAGAAATAACAACGTAAATGCACAAGAACAAGCCAACTAAGTTGCCTAAATATGCTCCTATCATACAACACCTTCAAAACTATCTAGCTATTGAATTTGAGATGAAAGAATTGGGTGAATTGAAGTATTTTCTTGGAATCGTGGTTGCACGATGCAAGCATGGTATTTTTCTGTCTCTACGGAAGGATGTCCTTGATATATATGAAAGAAGTATGTTAGATTGCAAACCTGTTGATACTCCGATTGAGCAGAATTATTGTCTAGGCTTATTTCCAAATCAAGTTCCTACTAATAAAGAACGGTATCAAAGGCTTGTGGAGAGAATAATTTATTTGTCTCACACTCACCCTGACATTGCTTATGCAATTAGTGTGGTAAGCCAGTTTATGCACTCACCTAGTGAAGCTCATATGGATGCTGTAATCTGTATTTTGAGGTACTTGAAGATGGCTCCTAACAAAGGCTTGGTTTTCTCCAATAATGGTCATTTGAATGTAGAAGGGTATACAAATGCAAATCAGGCAGGTTCTATCACTGACCAACGATACATATCTGGATACTTTACTTTTGTGGGTGGTAATCTAGTTACTTGGAGAAGCAAGAAACAAAAGGTGGTGGCTAGGTCAAGTGTTGAAGCTAAGTTTCGTGGTATGTCTCATGGTGTATGTGAGTTGTTATGGTTGAAAAAATTGTTGAGAGACCTTAGATTTAAACCCAAGGGTGCTATGAAACTCCATTGTGATAACAAAACATGTGGAGATTGATCGACATTTCATCAAGTAAAAATTGGATGCTAGAATTAATAATTTTCCGTTTGTGGGATCTCAGATCAACTTGCTGATGTGATTACTAAGGCTATGTCTAATAATGTGTTTTCCAACTCGCTTGACAAGTTGGGCATGCGTGACATCTTTGTTCCAACTTGAGGGGGAGTGTTGCGAGTTATATATTTATATATTAGTTAAAGTGTAAATAGTAGTTTGTTGTCCCACATTGATGAAGTGCTTATGTAATACTGATTGAAACTCGTACATATACTCCACTTTGGAGATGAATGAATATACAAGAAATTCCCAAATATTATCATATATATTTTTGGTATTTTACCATGTTTAATTCAACTACGCATGTGCATATATTCACTGACGGTACATAAATCGACCTTCTTCATCTATTAAATGTTATAATCCATCAACTAACATTTATCATGATGCGGCTCGTTATCAGTATCAACGGAGAGATTATGGCGGCTCGTTATCAGTATCAAAAATATAAGATTTTCTTCAACGGAGAGATTATGGCGGCTCGTTATCAGTATCAACGGAGAGATTATGGCGGCTCGTTATCAGTATTCGTTATCAGTATCAACGGAGAGATTATGGCGGCTCGTTATCAGTATCAACGGAGTGTTATAATCCATCAACGGAGAGATTATGACAGCTCGTTATCAGTATCAATTTACATAAGATTTTCTTCATATATTAGATTACGATACGCATCTACGTAAAATAACCGAGAAAAGAAAATCTAATCAAAACTCCAATTAATTTCAAAGTTAAAGTATGCAACACTAAACTTTCTACTAGAAACATGATTCAAAAAGTTAGTCAACAACTAATTTTTGTGAATGACAGCATAAATTTTTGTCAAATACTATAAAGTGGCCTCTTCTTATTTCGTTGGATGCTCATCTCTTTTACCTATAGCGTTATGAGCGTGTCTTATTGTTATCGTTTATTGTGTCGAGTGGAGAAAAACAATCATAAATTCAAGAATTTTTATCAACTAGTTATGATAGTTTCCAACTCAATTAAGTCCCATATTAAACTTCAGTTGAGCTCCCTAAAATCACTCATTCTGCTACTAACTCTATTTGTGGTAATGGTTTGGTCCCATTGATCGGTGGTTAGTGTGCTTGTTTCTTGCCTTCTTCTAGAGGGCTTTGATGCAACTTTGGTGACGAAGGTAAAATGGACCAATCAATATTATTGAGTTTGGTTTGATCTTATTTAATGGCGAAAGAGAAAGTACAACAATAAAAGTTAAGGTCTTGTTTGGCATGCCGTATGACTCATCATAATTAATATAGAAGTAGTTGTTTGGTACACTTTCGCATTAAATAAATACTTGCTTTGTTAACTGTTCCATCAAATTTTATACAATTGACATGGAACTATTAAAACACCCCAAAAGCTTGGGATAGTTAGGGCTGGTTTGGTATTGTTGTGCTTTGCAAAAAAGCTGCTTCTGCTGTGCTGTGAGAATAAGCGGCTGTGAAATAAAGCAGCAGAGTGTTTGGTAAACTTTTTTGTAAAAGTGCTTTTGGAAAAAAAAGCAATATAATAATGTTTGGTAAATTTTTATGTAAAACAGCTATGACAACGTGAAATGATCAAAAAGGGTATAATACTAGATGTGCTATTCATTTAATTTTCTTAACAAATAAAGGTGAATTACTAAATATATACTTTATTTTTTTTTATAAATATTTATAAACTTTATCTTAAATATTAATTAGTACAACAAAATACTTCAATTGAAATACCTCCGTTTTTCTCACAACTAAGAGTGCGAGTGAACGGAATTTGTAGTGTATTCTGGTTAAAAAACTTTTAAACCATAACATACAAAACAACTCTAGATATTGGTTTTGCTTAGTGGGTGACCAATTGAACAAACTTTCATGCCCTTAATCTAATAAAAACTTTGAACAAAATCCATCAGCGACATACAATCTAAAGAATGACATTATTCAATACGTCTTCCTAATCTCTCTCTCTATCCACCTCTTTCATTGTTTGTACAAGCTGGAGTGGAAATTAAGCAGAGATATGTCAATTACAGTAGCAGACCTGAAATCCAAATGATCATTCCATTGCCTTAACAGATCATCGGACCATCTCATATTAACATTGTCAATCACCAAGCCATTGATGTGTTCCATGATGATCCCGGCCGTGCTGTGTTTAACAAGTCCCTAGCATCCCGGTCTGTAGTTTACCAACCCACCAGCATTGTTGGTCCATCTTCTGTAAGTCAGATCCAAGTTAATGAATTGTAAATCACTGAGAAGCCCGCCTTTAGAACCTGATAAAAATACTCCATTCTCGGAAGTTGAGGTGATATTAACGGAAGAGTAGGTTAGAGATTGAACCCTCCTTTGACTTTGAGTGTCGAGGACATGTGGTCACGTAGATTGGCTCCGCTCTTCCCCACCAGGATTGATCATAGTATCTTGTGCTCATATTTATGTTTGAGAAGGTAATGTCACTCACATTCCTGCACAGGTGAATAATTAGTAATCTTGTTGTCATACTGAGAGAGCTATGACAGCAAGCCATGATCAACCTTTATTTCATCAAAACATAAGCAGGTAAAGGCAGAATAACAATAATGAAGAATCAAAACCCTCCCATTAAAACAGAATTATTCCGCAATGACAAGGTGGCTACAACAAAATGCCATGACTGCTGGTTATAGGAAACCATTCATATGATGATAAGGCGATACAGACAAGCAACTATAGAATAAGATTTCGAAGTCATTTATTGCTTTCAATTGTTATTCCACACATTCAGAGAGTTATAGATGGACTAACAGTCTAACAGTGTTACAGTCATCTTACCCTTCCCTACACCCTGTAAGGCGCTTATGGGCTACCAAAGAGCGGAAAATGTGATTCCAATGCTAAACAAATGCACTGTACTCCTACCCATCCACATCATGAAACCCATCATCATCAAATTCTTGAATGGGGCCTGTGCAACTTCCCATGCTTTCTGCTCAAACATAAAGACACCATGAAATCCATAAAAGCCCAAATATTCGAATATCACCACATTCTCATCGGTATTAACAGGGCTAAAAAAATTCAGCAGAAAAAAAATCTAAAATTCTAATCCATCAGCAATTTAAATCATGCCCAATTTGCGATCCAGTGATTATTATCGAGTTAAGAGGTAAAGGTGCAATCTTTCACCATTTAAAATGTCTGAAATCCTAAGTCTGAAAAACCCTAAATCCAATTGCTTAATAAATTCTAATTTAGGGAGAGGGGAATCAGTACATGAGCTTTCCAAGTAGATTCAGCATCCTTCTTCTGGCGACTCACAGTCGAATCATCCTACAGAAAAACAAAAACCCCAAGTCCAATTAATTGGGAACAAACCCAACCCCAAATTCCCAATCCAAATCGAACGAAGAAGCAAAAGAGAGAAAGGGGGTAAAAAAACCTGTTCGAGGGAGGCACGAGAGAAGCCAGGAGGGTCAGGGAAGTTGCGGGTAGAAGGGGAAGTTGAGTTGTCAGTCAAGTCAACGGCCAATCTCCGACCTTCTCCCATCACTCCCTTTCCCTTCTCCATCGTCACCGTCGTTGTCGTCTTCTCGGACGCAGTTGCAGCAGTAGAGTTGCAGCGCCATTCTTCGATTTGATCCGACTAAATTAATTACAGCAAATATATTCAAGCAAATCGAGTACCTGGTACCTAGAAGGCAATGGTGGTGTGGCGCTGAGACCGACTGAGAGAGAGGAAAATGAGGAGGAAGAGGTGAAACGGTAGGAGGGAAGAGGGGCGTGCGGAGTGTTTTGCGAGAGAGAAGAGGGCGTGAGGAGTGTTTTGAGGAATCAGGAGAAAGGAGAAAGGAGGGGGCAGTATTGGCAAATTAGAAAAATTCATTAACAAAGTACAGTAGCTCCGTTTGTATGATAAGCCGCTTCTTGAAGCTGCATCCGCTTTTTGGTTTTTTTTATCTGAAATTTTGAAATAAAGCTGTTTTGAGTTGTTTGCTAAACATTAAAAAGCCCTTCCAGCTATTTTCATACCAGTTTTTTTAAAATCATCTCAACTCTAAACTGGGGTTAGTCGGGTCCTTTCCATCTTCACGAAGTCACCCTTAACGACTTCTCAGAGTGGGCTTTCGAACTCCAGCTTCCTCTCCATGTCCCTCACCCTCCAACTTGTGTCCGACTCCATCGAATTCAAATCCCCTACTGCCACCATCTTCGCTCCGCCAGACACCACCTTCATGCTCTTGGGCCAGCCCTGTCCCCCACTCATCTTCTACAACATCTCCCCGAGAAGAATCTCCGTGAACAACCTTCAAGTACCTCCGCCCCAATACAAAGATCCCGACTTTGCTCCCCAATTACTCCCTCACTGTCACTGCCTCCCCAAATTTCCAAGGCTATTTGTCGATCAACGATCTGGGTATTAATCCTAACGCCGTTCTAGATGATGGGTCGGTGATCGTTTACGCAATCGACAAGCTTTTCAATTTGTCCTTCTTGGCCATCGACGCCGCTCAAGAACCGGTGGCAGATCAGCCATTGATGAGCTTGGTTTCGCGTGTTCAACGGCCGAGCCTTGCTCCGAGTGCGACTGTGAATTACAACATGGAGGCTGCACTGTACCGGCCCAGTCCAGAATCTTTCGGTTTTGTCGCCAATTTGCTGAGATCCAAAAGGTACTCAATCTTTGCCGCATTTCTTGATGCACAGCTGGTGGGGAAGATGAAGAAAGGAAGCCACGCTGGGTTTCCTTCTTTTTTTTTTTTTTTTTTCTAATTTTTTATGATGATTAATTCCTCTTTTTTTGTTTTTCTTTGGTTAATTTTCTCCTTTTTATTCATTTTAACAACAATTATTTGGTGAAATTTTTTTGAAAATTATTATAGTCTGACGTATTATCTGATGTACAGATTAATCCGACACAGCACCAAACGTCCGATTAATTTAGTCAGTATAATTCGATGATTATTTATCATATCCGATTAAACTAGTTAGTATAGTTCGAGTTATCAAACGAGGCCTAAATGACCATCTACTATTGGATTAGGATCTAACGGTGGGTACAATTTTCTTGGACCCTGGTATCTAGGATAAGCAAGTTTGCAATATTATTTGACTCTATTTTAAAGTTTGGTCTTGTTTGAGTCTATGATTGTATCGGATAATTCACTAAATTCAACTTGAACAAGCAATTCATTTCAACTCCCAAATTTTATCCAATTTAAAGGTAGAAAATGAATTGGTTAGAACAGAAACTTCTCTCTTTCAATCCTACCAAGTTAGAAGTGACAAATTTCCTTCGTATCCAATTGGTCTTATACCTTCAACAAGGTAGAAAACTTATAACTTCCAACTTGATAGGATGGAATTAAAGCTAACAAGAAATCAAATCCAATCCAATACTTGCAGTGGTGGATCCATGAATTTTTTTTTTTTGGGAGGGTTAGACATATAATAATCTTAAAAATTAAATCATAGTTCCATCATTCATAACTTATAGAACAAATAACAATACAAGTTACAATAGTCCCCGATGTGTTTTCATATTTTGAAAACGTTGCATTATAGCTTCATTGTCAATGGAAGAAAAAACATTGCTCTCAATATAAACCATCATGCTATCAACCATTGATATCTCATTCGGTTGCGCAATGAAGTCTTCACAATATTCATAGCGGAAAAAGGTCTCTCCACTGAAGTAGTAGCAACTGGTAGAACCAAAGCCAATGTAACTAGCAAATACACATGATTATATACTCTATTCCTCCCCATCTCCACCATTTTTTTTGCAAGTCTACCAATTCCTTTCAATTGAGAAAATTCACCACTCAAACACATATCAAGAACATAATGCCCAAGTTGATCTTCAAGTGCCAAAAGTTGACATAGTAAATTCATTCGGATAAAATTGAGCAAAACAAATAAGCTTTTGTTCATCAAGAGCCAAGAATGAATAATTCGGGCTCAAACTTGCCAAACAAAGAAACAACTCTATATTTACCTCATCAAAGCGACTATTTAATTCCACAAGTTGCTTATCAACGATAGCAACAAAGAGCTCCACATGATAAGGATGGAAGTTTGTGATTCTTTGAGCTCCACGCCGCGATCTCCCTATAATAACATATCCATCTACATGCGTTTATTTTTTTGGCTCTTGGTGTTTTTTTTATTTTTTATATTAAACTAAGGGTCCAAAACTATGTCGTTTTGACAAAGTAATATTTATTAAAAAATAATAAGAAGAGCTACTCTTACAGTTGGAGGGCATGTATGAAGCCAACTCCAATCTACAAGGGAGCACCACCCAAGTTATCAATGGAAATTCACAAGTTCGGGGGATCAGCACTCAAGTTATCTATGGACATTTACCAAAGTTCAAGGGGTCAGCTGACCCCCTGCCCCCTCAATGCATCCGCCTCTGAATACTTGTAAGATTATGAGTATGAAGCATATGTTAGAACCGGTTATAGTGTTTGAAATTGATGTGGAAAAGTCTTGATTAAAAGCTATTAGTTATCCCCAGTGTTTTGGGATAACAAAATTGAGTGTAGTTCAATCCTTTTGGGATTAGAACTTAGTACCGGAACTCTTATTAGACTCATAGATCTTTATGGTTTGTATATTCTGATAGGGAATAGTTGGAGGAACATTATATAAAGTTCAAACCATATTCGTTCCACAACCTATTGATTGAAAGAGCTATTGCTTTTGTAAAAGAGAAGGTTTGAGCACAAGAAGCTGCAATGGCTTCATCATCTGGATCGAATCCGGCACGGAAGTGTTAAGGGTATTCATTCTTCTGTTTGCTTGTTGATTGTTTGATATGAGTTGTGGTTGATTGGTTGAATATATATTCCTTGAATGAGAATTTATAATCTGTTCTTACAATACTAACCACCAAGCAAGGCCAAAGGTGTGCACCAAATATTGCATTGTGAATGTCATGAAAGCCAAGTTTCAGCACACCTCTGACATTACATTCATTAGAAGCATTGTTCGGGTACACATGTGACATTACATTAAAAAAGTGATACACAACGTGAAATTATAATACAGTCTTACTAGCATTGTTCATTACTACTACACGTGATATTATATTATAAGCAGCAAATGTTGCCATAGTATTATTACCAATCACAAGCGGAAAAACTTTGACAGAAAATAACATACCATATTTTTACAATCATTTGTTCATTCAAATCTAGAAGAAATCGCACAAGCCAGCCCCCCACCAATCTACAAATCACAATCCTTTACTCAGCATCCGCAAATCTGCAAAAGAAAATTGTTGCACGAGTCAAATTTTCAGATTTATAAATAAATTGAAATACTCGAGAATAATCGAAGGAAAAACAACAAAAACTAGGGTTCTAAGTTTCCAGTACTCACCCAAGCTCGGAGAGCTTCAAATGTGCTTCGGCATAATCAGCAAAGAAGGCGTCTTCGTCCTAATCGAAGCAAAACCAAAGAAATCAAAAGTTGGATCAGACGATCATCAATGCCGCAGAGCATACGCATACACTGCATCTTAAAGCCATAAGTTACTGAGATTAAGTAGAATTGCACAATTAGATACAAACCGCAGCATAAGTCTCAACAAGAGGGCGAAAGACTGGATCCTCGAGAAGAGCTTTATCTGATGGCAGCTGAAGAAGACCTTCTTTCTCCCCACTAAGAAGTTCCCTGTTTGGAAAAATGATGGTAAATCAGACAGACAATACTTAACTCTTCACAAATAGTTAGTAGTACCAATATTAACATACGCACAGTATAAAAGGGATAATTAGATGACTTGCAGCGCAAGGTTCCATTTAATCTGCAAAGTGCTATTAATTCAGCGAAAGTAAAACTAAATGGAATGAATCTTTACTTGAAATAGGAGTTGTCAAAAATGAGAGGGTTCGTTGTCCAGGGTCCCTCGAATCCAGAACGCTCCTTGTGGCACCTACCCTGCAAAAAAAAGATCCCAAATACACAATACTTCAGTATTACATACTCTTATGGTAATTAGACAGAAGGAAGAATGTGACGGTCATGCACAGACCAAGGTGTGTCCACCGGATAATGCAACAATGTCCTTGTCGCTAAGTCCCATGTGTCCAAAGACAGCCCTCAGATGATCCGAACCTAGAACACATACCAACACAGAAAGAAATAATTAAAGACATCCGTCTTACAATCATACACTTGAAATTGCAAGATTTAGCAGCTACTAACCTTCGGTGGCATTTGGCAAACGACCTTCTGGTGGTGGTTCTTGTTTATCCTAAAATTAGTACACAAGGTTAGATGATTCTAGGAAGGAAAGCAAGTTCGACCAATGATTATTATCTACTCTATCCTAAAGTCTGGCCTCGTTTAGTGGTTTGGATTGGATTGGATAAGTCACTAGATTAAACTTGAACAAGAAACGGTTGTCTAACTCCCAAATCTTATCCAAGTCAAAGGTCCCTTCCTCACCTTCCAATCCTACCAAGGTGGAAGGCCTTCATATATAATCTGTCTTCTACCATCAACTCGAACAAGGTTTGGGAGTTGGAATCCACTTTTTGCTACATACATTAAATCTAGCAAGCTATCAAATTCAATCCAATACAATATACCAAACGATGCCTAAGAGTGTAAACCAAATATTGCATTGTGAATGTCATTAGAGCCAAATTTCAGTCGACCAAATCCTTTAATCCTACCAAAACTTCTGATTATTACCAACGGGAGAAAAAATGGGTGAAGAAATCATAGTGTATATATTATTAATAAACTCACAAACAAGTTTCCATTCACAATACGGGACATTAAATGTCATAAAAAAAATAAAATAAAATAAAAGTTGTGGAGAAAAACAAGGGTTTACTTACTGGTCTACCAGGGTGGAAAGGGATCTCAGGCCCTCCTGTTATTTCTACAGCAACAACTCCAGCCAACTTCAATTCACAGCAAAACACATCAAATTTCATTAAAATAACAAAACTAATCACATCAAATAAAAGATTAGGATTCAATGATTAATTTAGTGTCGATCATCGCTTTTATAAGACAAATTCCCTTAATGGATATGTACCTGGTAGAAGTCTGCATATGAGAGGATCGGAAACTGCTCCTTGATCGGCTCCAAAAGCCTAACCGCAATATCAAGACCGTTGTTTGCTTCATGAGCGAGCTCCTCCGGGTGCCTGATGGTCCCAAATGGTCCTCCAGTCTTCGTTTCTATGTCAAACGTACCAGCTGAGTGCCATCTGCGCCCATCATTCAAAACATCCAACACTAAGCTCCCACTCGATCATTGCCAACAACAAAAAGAGTCAGATCAATAAATATATACACAGAGGTTTATGAGTTCTTACGCCAATCGGAGAATTATAGGAGCGCAGTTCTTCTCAGCGATGAGCCCTCGGAGTTTTCTCTTGCATTTTTCAACTGCCTTCAGGTATTCCTCGCTCACAGTCGGGTATTGTTTCACCATGTTGACGATCAATCTTTTCACACATTCAAAGTATAAAAAGGTAAGTGTATTACTTAGCACGATCATTTACAAATCTCAGTCGTTAAACCAATCAAAATCAAATACTCATGAACATATAGATGAAAGTTTAATCACATATCCATTAAGTAATGACCACATATCGATCAAATACTGAAAAACAATCATTTCGGCAATCGAAATTTATAAAAAAAAATAAGAAATAAAACTTACGATCCAAACAATCTAGCTAGAAAGTAGAAGCCCACGCTACGGATTTGAGCACAGCACAGGTCTCTGTAGTGAGTTTCAAACACACATCAAAATGGATATATAAGAAGCGTTTTTTCGGGGACGAAGGTTCTAGCGATTCTTTTAGTCTTCTGGTGCTGAACCAACGGCCAAGATCGTGCCAAGTAAGCGAGGGCTGAGGTGTGGACTAGAGGCGGAAAAGGAAACAGAAATTTGCAATTAGTTGGGCCACTTGTCGGATGGAGAGTGGTGTAGAGTGTGACTACTTGGACGCACATGGATGATTGGATCATTAATTTTTGTTTTTTTTGTTCATAAAATGATTGAGTCGTTTGAGCAGTAGCTTCTAGAGACCATAACAATCAAAACGGAATTAGATTCTATCCGGATTCGTTTTGTGAAGATCTTAAGATTCTCACATCTTAGTTATTTATCTTGTATCGTGCGATTAAAAGGTTTTTTTACTTTTTTTTTTTACTTAAAATTAAACACAAATAATATCTGACGAAAATTGACAGCATAATGTACAATGAACGATTAAGATGTGGGAATTCCTAGAATCTTCACAAAATGAATCCAAAGAGGATCCTCTTCCAATCAAAACCATCTTTATCAAAATATTAAGGTGATTTAGCATAACACAAATCTAGCTTCACCCGTGGCAAAGTTGCAAACCCAAGGTGGCCACACAATAAACTAACTATAATAATGCGGTTTAAATTTATTTTTAACGAAAGTATAAGAATTAAATTTATTTTTAACGAAAGTATAAGATGCCTGTAAGATTGTCATTAAGCGACGCGCAAAAAGTCACCAAAAAAGGCTCTTTACTTTTCCCAACCCTCAAACGTCCTCTCTGTGTACTTTTCCGTGCTTTTATCATATCCAGGGTTTCATCTCCTACACACCATTTCCTGCTTCTCGTCTCCTCCTTTTCCGTCGCACGCTGTAAGTCTGTAAGTCTTCGCTTCAATGCCTCCGAGCGACTTCGTTTGGATAGTACATTATCAATGTCGATGTGCGATAACTGCTTTGTTTGGGTAGTAATGGTTATGGCATTGTTTGTTTCTCAGCAAAATCATGACTGAAATCGAAGAGAAAACGTGTCCGATATGTGCCGAGGAGATGGATTTGACGGATCAGCAACTGAAGCCGTGGAAATGCGGTTACGAGGTCTGAGCGAAACACTAAATTCACTTGCTAGTTTTATTTGTTTGTAATTTCTTTGTGACAATGTGTGTATTTACTCGTCGACTATAGTGGAAATAACTTTGATATAAAAGTCTGGATGGATGAATGTGTAAATTTGATGACATTGTAATTCGTATAATTGGCGAAAGATTTGATTTCTTCGGGTAGTTTTTCATGGTAAGTAACCATGTATTCAGATTTCTGTGGCACTTCTTTGTGGACTTCCTCTAATCCTCTGATTGTTCACCATTTGCGGGCATAGGTATGTGTTTGGTGCTGGCATCACATTATGGAAATGGCAGAGAAGGATGGAAAGGAGGGCTGTTGTCCAGTATGCCGTGCACCTTATGACAAGAAATTGTTGGAGTGGCAGCACATGGTTTCGTTTCAGGTTAATGTATGTTGTTCTGTGACAACTGACAAGTTGAGGATAGAAACTGTTTCCCTCCTTGAACAGGTTGGTGGCTAAAATTAATGTGAAGCGGAAACAGAAAAAACCCAAGGGATTTGAAGTAAAGAAGCAGCATCTTATTGATGTTAGAGTTCTCCAACGGAGCCTAGTGTATTTGATTGGAATACCTCTTAACCTTCCAAGTGAAGACGTGAGTGGCTATTATCTCATTGCTCTCAAAGTATTTAAGTTGGGACCTAGTCAAACATAACCTGATGTCTTAGTGTATTTGATTGGAATACCTCTTAACCTTCCAAGTGAAGACGTGAGTAGCTATTATCTCTTTGCTCTCAAAGTATTTAAGTTGGGACCTAGTCAAACATAACCTGATGTCTTATGGAAATCGTATAATACTCTCATAAATGTAGATCCTGAGATTTTTTTTTTCTTCGGTTTTACTAGCTTCTCAAGTGAAGGGAGTATTTTGGCCAGTACGGAAAGATTTTGAAGGTTTCTATCTCTCGTATAGAAAATGGGGCTATCCAACAGGCTCCAAACAACAGTTGCTATGTGTAAGTGGGGTTACCACTTTCAATGTTCTACAGGAACACAGGTAGAAAGAATAATAGGACAAAATTAAAAGTACCAAGATGACTGGAGGAGGGCAGGGAGGTAGTGTACTTTCTCTCGGTCTTCCGCCGCCACATAATTTCACCATTTTCATGCTAGTTGGGTCTTCAGCCACCACATAACCTCACCATTTTAATGCTAGCTGAGTTTTCAGCCATGACAACATCACCTGTCACAACAACACCCATCACCTCATCCACTGAACCATCCATCCCCTGAAAACCCAAAAACTTTGGCCGCTTCTTTCACAACGCTGCTTGCCCGGGCTGTTGTTTGCTATTGGTACTAGTCCTCCAGGTACCATTGTGAGTAATAATGCCCACAAAAAGTTGGTTTGGGTTTCTCTCTGGTTCTTTTTTCTGCGGACTGGTATTCTTATCTGCAAGATTAAAATACCCTCTCCACATATGGGCTGGGTTATCCCTCACTTGGATAACATTCTGGTTCGGCGTCCATCAAGACGTTCATCCCATGAAAGACTCCTAAACCCAGCCCATATGTGGAGAGGGCATTTTAATTTTGCAGATAAGAATACCAGTCCATAGAAAATAGAACCTAGAGAGAAACTGACAACCCGAACCAACTTTTTGTGGGCATCATTACTCACAAAGGTACCTGGAGGACTGGTACCAATAGCAAACAACAGCCTTCCAAATGGAAGCAGGGTTGTGAAAGAAGCGGCCAAAGTTTTTGGGTTAGTTTCTGGGTTTTCAGGGGGATGGAGGGTTCAGTGGCTGAGGTGATAGGTGGTGCTGTGATAGGTGATGTTGCCATGGCTGAAGACCCAACTAGCATAAAAATGGTGAGGTTATGTGGTGGCTAAAAACCCAACTAGCATGAAAATGGTGAAATTATATGGTGGCTGAAGACCGAGCACTCTGTGAGATTATGTAATGGTGCCTAGCTCTCTGTCTAAAGAGAGATTACACTACCTCACTGCCCTCCTCCAATCTTCTTGGTCCCTTTAATTTTGTCCTGTTATTCTTCTGAGCCAGATGCTAGGCTCCATATGCTGACAGCAAACAACTTCTACCCCACAGAACTTAGGATTTCAAGACCACATCAGGAATAGTTACTCTTACCTAAATGATGCACAAAGAATTACTCCACAGCAACCAGATCAATTCTAGCCCAACAATCCATCTTCATTTGTGCAACCCCCCCGGTCAACACTTCAGTGATATGCATTTATCAAATAATGATTGGGCGCAATGGAATGGGGTCAATAGTGTTACAATCTTGGTTTATCAAATCTACTGAGAAACAATCCATTGGGATTCAACAAGCTCATTCCCTGTTATGAGAATATGCCGTCTCCAACAAGTTACTTCAGTCATCTAAACGACAGATCATTTGAAATGTGAGATTTCCTGTAGCTGGAGTTTGTCTTTCACTCTTGACTGGGGTCAAGTGTGACCGAGTGGATGAACTGGTTCATCCTTTGTCTTTATTTTTGTTGGAATTTGATGTTTCCTGAAAAGACATAGTAATGGATTCAAGGATCGCTGCATTGACAGAATGGAACAATCAGCTGGAACAAATTTTATGCATTCATTTGCTAGTAAGAGACCTCGAGTACCGACATTCCTGGTCTGTCTCGTAACTGTCAATGCAGTTAAACAGTTTCCATATAGTGAAGGCACATGTTACCTAAGCAAGGATATTGTTATGCTAGCATTGATATGAGGGAACATTGATGGGCTGCTGCAACTTCTAAAAGCAAGGTGAGATACATTATACATACATCACATATATTGAAACAGATAATGTTCGTTTTCAAGATTTACGTTAATTAGATTTTGAATTGACAAATGATATGCATTGCAATGTGTTATAGACTATAGCGACTGCACTTACGGCATATGCTTAGTTTGTACTAAAGGAGGTTGTATATTAAATACTAATGCAAGTGTGACATCTGTCCAAGTATATTAAAGAAAAACATAATACAGTCCAAATGTCTGGATAATTACCCCTTATTGTTGTAAATTTGGATAGTTTGCGTTTGCGGAGGACAAATTAAAGTTCACATGTCAAGAAAAATGCTTCTCAACAGAGTAATTAGTTATTTGTGTTGTTTTCTTTTTGCAGGTAGAGTTCAGGGCACTGGTATTAACAAGTACGTCCGTTTGTTTACTCAATGGATGAATCTGATGGTACCCAATATCGACCTTTGTTAAAGATAGATCACTTTCGCTAGTGAGCAAGTGTATAATTGTCACAAATGAATGCTGAATTGAAAGTTAAGTTAGTGGTAGTGATTTGGCTGACTGTTATGGCATACACTATCAGAGACCACTAAGTAGGGGAGAACCTTAGCTATTCCCGAGTGTATAGACCCGATTACAATTAAGATTTTCTCTATTCAGTAGTTCACTCTAGAAATTTTATTTCTGTGCGTCTTGGTGTTTTTTTTTTTCTCGTGTTTTTCTAGCCTCTCATCCATTTGTAGTTCATTTAGGTCTTCGTTCCTTTTGTTATAGGCATTTTTGCTTGCACTCGTCTATAGGTTTTGCTTTTCTAGGGTTGGTTCAAAACATTCACCTTTTCTAGGTCACTGGGGACAATTGTGCATGCCTATAAAAGTCCCAAAACCAAGTAGGACGAGCTTCAACAGGAAGATTTTGCCGCCGCATATGAACATCAGAAGACAAATGCCCAACACTACTTAGAGCATCCGCCACAAAACTAGATTCATGAAAGATACGAAGGAATGAAATATCTTGGAGGTAGCAAGCAAATTTCCGAATGTCGGCTTCCAAAGTAGATAGCTGCTATGGGTAGAGGAGTTCCCATTCAAAGCATCAACAGGGACCTTAGAATCACCCTCTCCACATCCAAGCAAGAAAATCCCCTCGCGAGCAGCCTTCAGACCATCAAGGAGAGCTTGACCTTGAGTGATAAGAATGGTGGTTGATCCAATTCTACGAGC